TAAAGCCCCCCTGCACAGCGGCAGGCGCGGAGGGCAGCGGCTGCCCCGGCCACCGGTGGGCAGCGACCACGGGGGTGGGTTTGGTGAGCAGACCCCGACCCCGACCCTGCCCCTTCCCCTTCCTCCATCCAGGGCGCAGCAAGTCCTTCAGGCTGAAGCTGCCGGCGCTGCTGGCACTGGCGGGCAGCAAGCAGTCGCTGAGGCAGGAGCCGCCCGACGCCGTCGTCGTGGACTTCTCCAAGCAGAGCAGCGAGTCCGGCCCCGAGGAGGCCACCTCCTCGCTGGAGCCCAGCTGCCCGGGGGGTGCCCAGCCCGAGGACCAGGCGGCGCTGATGGGGGATGAGCTCCCCGAGCCGCCCGTCACCCACTCCTCGCCGCGCGCCGACCGCCTGGCCCTGCAGGCCGCCTTCTCCAACTGCAGCCTGGCACGGAGCCGCTCCCGCGAGAGCGTCCACAGCGTGCGCCGCGCCTCCTCCGTCGACGACATCGAGACCATGAAGGGCGAGGGCGACAAGCGCTGCCACAACCGCCACGCCAGCACCAGCGCCAGCATGCACCGTGGCTCCAGCACCGGTATGGCGCCGCCGGCGCACCGCGGGCTTTGCACGCACCAGTGCCGGCACCCGCAGCTTCTTGCCCTGGCGCAGCGTGCGGCCGTGGGGTGAAGTCATTAGTGCTGGCAGCTCGTTAGGGCCAGGGCCCGCTCCTGGCGTGCAGGTCATGGGGGCAGCTGTCAGCCGCAGCCGGAGGGAGCTGCCGGCTGCTTGGCAGCGGTGCTGGCACGGGGCCGCAGTGGCACCCGTCACTGTCAGGGTCCTCATCACTGTAATGCTCCATGCTGCCAGCGGCTCTGGTGCCTGGTGAGGCCCCCCCCGCCTTGCCCGGTGTGGGGTGAGCCAGGGCAGCCCTGAGTCCCCGGCATGGCACTGAGCCCCCCCACACCTGGCAGGGAACCCGCGGCTGCCCTGGTGTGGCTGCTCTGCCCGGCTGCCCGGCACGCACCCCCTGCCCGGCTGCACCATGTAGGGCCGGGGGGCTCACACACACCCCCCCCAGCCCGCCCCGTAGCCCCCCACACCCCCCGCCGAGCCGGAACGGGCAGCAATTACCTCGTTAACCCCTGATCCCGCTAAGCGCATTAGGGAAGGGGAAAATAATTATATTAACGGTAAACGATAGCAAGCTGTTGGGTCGCGGTCCTGCAGTGCCCACCGGGGGGGCCCCCCCGCCCCACACCTGCCGTGGGACCCCCACCCTGGGGGACAGTGGGGCTGTGGTCCCCCCGTGGTGACAGTCCCCCCGCCCAGGGGCCATGAACAACGTCCGGAGCGCCCTGCTGAACTCCACCTCCGACTCGGACCTGATGCGCTACCGGGCCATCAGCAAGATCCCCCAGATCACCCTCAACTTCGTGGACTTCAAGGCGGACGCCTTCCTGGCCGCGCCGCCCGGCGAGAAGGAGATCATCGCCCCCACCAAGCTGAAGGACCGCACGCACAATGTCACCGAGAAGGTTACCCAGGTGAGCCCACGGGCGCCGCCACGCCGCCGGCTGACGGAGGTGGCCGGGCACTGCCAGAGGTGTCTGGGTGGTGCTCAGAGCATGGCCAGAGCCCAGAGGATGCTCTGCACGGCAGCTGGCTGCCAGAGCTCGCAGGGAAGTGTTGGAGCTCGCAAGGCGATGCTGGAGCGTGCAGGATGGTGCTGTAGCTTGCAGGGAGGTGCTGGAGCTCGTGGGATGATGCTGGAGTGTGCAGGGAGGTTCTGGAGCTCACAGGGCAATGTGGGATTGTGCTGAGCTTGCAGGGAGGTGCTGGAGCTCGTGGGATGATGCTGGAGTGTGCAGGGAGGTTCTGGAGCTCACAGGGCAATGTGGGAGCTCGTAGGATGATGCTTGGAGCTCGCAGGGCGATGCTGGAGCGTGCAGGATGATGCTGTAGCTTGCAGGGAGGTGCTGGAGCTCGTGGGATGATGCTGGAGTGTGCAGGGAGGTGCTGGAGCTCACAGGGCAATGTGGGAGCTCATAGGATGATGCTTGGAGCTCACAGGGTGATGCTGGAGCGTGCAGGGTGATGCTGGAGCGTGCAGGATGATGCTGTAGCTTGCAGGGAGGTGCTGGAGCTCATGGGATGATGCTGGAGTGTGCAGGGAGGTGCTGGAGCTCATAGGATGATGCTTGGAGCTCGCAGGGCGATGCTGGAGCGTGCAGGACAATGCTGGAGCTTGCAGGGGGGTGCTGTGAGAGGCTGGGGGCTGCAGGACGGGGCTGGGAGCTGCAGGAGGGAGCTGAGGGCACGGCTGGGTCCCTGGGGTGCCCCTGCCTGGCGGGGTGCCGGAGGGGCCGGCTCAAGCAGGGCATGCCAGGGTGGGTGTGAGGTGCGGGCTGTTGTTGGTCGTGCCAGGTGGCTGTTGTCCCCCACCCTCTGGGATCACGAGGGTCCCTGTTGCTCCCCTCAGGGGGATCAGCCGGGGTGGTCCCGGCCGTGCTGCTCCCTGTGCCGGGGCATGGGGATGGGCACCGTGGTAGGGTGGCACATGGCTGGGACGGACCCTGCACGGCACGTAGGGTCCCCGGGGGGCTCCCAGCAGGGAGCACGGGGCAGGCGCCCCCCCAGACTGGGGCATCCCTCGGCCTCGGCTCTGTCCCAGCATAGGCGCAAGCCCTGGTGTCGTGGCAGGCTGCCCCGTGCCACCAGCTCGCTGCGGCTCACCATGCCCGGGGTGCTGGGGGGCTGGCGGTGGCAGCTAATCCTTGGAACGTTGTGTAACTGCCATCTGGCTGCGGGGAGCAGGCGGCGGCTGCTGCTTAATTACACCCTGATTCCGGCTCCCGCTAATGAACTGAAAGCTGCTGGGGGCCGGTGGGCTCCTGGGACCCCTGTCTGTCCCTGCCAGGAGGGCTGCTCTGGGGGCTTGGGGACAAGGCAGAGGGCACGGGGAGAGGGTCCCCAAGCCCCCTGCGGCAGCCCCATGCTATTACTTCTCCCCAGGGACCCCCGCAGCTGGCAGGGGATAGAGCTGCCCGGGTGCATCTGCCTGTGCTCCCAGTCCCTAAGCAGCCCTGGCCCCCCCCCAGCCCCTGCCACGCATCTGCTCGCACACGTGAGGGGGGCCCCATTTGGGACCCCCCTGCTCCCATGGGGAGCTCCTGGCCCTGCTGCTGGGGCTCCTCTCCCGGGAGCGCTGGGGTGGGCACCCAGCCCCGCTCCCCTCGCCGGGTGCCAGAGCAGCCATGGGACCCTCTGTGGAGTGGGGGACCCTGACCCCACAGGCACAGGGCTGGCCCCCCTCCCAATCCCTCTCCCCACCCCTTGCAACATGCCGGCTGCCCTTCCCTGTTCCTCTCCACCCCGCTAACAAGCAAAGCATCCTGATTGCCTTTGCTGTGTAATTAATTCCAATGCTGTGGCGGCTGCTGCTGTGCAGGCAGGCAGCTGCCTGCACCGAACCTTGGTCATTCCCTCCTGCCCATAACCACCATCGCCACACCACACAGTGCCTGGCAGACGGGGGGACGTGGCTGCCCTCGCTGGGGCTGGCCCTGCCCCACAGCGCCGGGGCGGGGGGCTCGGCTGTGTCCCGGTCATGCTGGGCTCCCTTGGGGTGGGAGCACCCGTTGCCTCCCCGGGACGGGATGGGGGTCCCCGTCAAGGTACCCGCTGCCCGGCGCGCGCCTGCCGTGGCTGGACCCGGGCAGAGCCGGGAGACACCGTGTGCCGGCGTGGTGGACCGGGTGCCGGCGTGCCACAGGGAGCAACCATCAGGCGGTGTGGGGATGGCTGCTGCGCTCAGGCCTCTGTGAGCGGGTTGTAGGGCAGCCCCGGCTCAGGCGTGGTGAGCCACCGGGCTGGCGGCACATGGCGGGGGGGCTGGGGCTTCCAGGCAGCAGCACCGTGAATCATCCGCAGTGACGGCAGCCAAAGGAGCCCGCTCACCGCCCG